AGGCCAACCAGAGATATGAATGGAGGCGGGTAATATTTGCAGCAATGAACCTCAAGGGCTCGGAATGCTGAAAAAGAAGAAGTCGATACAACACGTTTAAAGTCAATAAGCTACTTATTTAGTGAAGTAAAAAAAAAAAAAGTGCCTAAGGGCACTGATTAGTTGTATGTTGACAAAAAGGAGAGAGGGATAAAGAAGAAAAATGCCAGAGTCATCCGGAATACACAAATAGAATCAAATCATAGACCAGTGGTACTTTTGCTTCATACACCATCTGGATCCCAGCCTGAGAAATTAGGTCAACAAGCAGTGGTAATATTTTAGTTGCGTATCCTTTACAGGACGTTGCAGAACCAACCCCAACAGCCCCTGGCTGTTGTGTGCTTTTTTCCTAGGCAAATACGTCCAGTAGTTTGCCAATGCTAACTGGACGGTCGGCTTTCTTGATACCACTGTCGAAACCAACGCAAGACGCATGGCCCGCAGCTGGAATCCAACCCGGCATCCCGGCATTACGAAGCGTTCGCATCGACTTAGCCACAGAGCACACAGAGGTAATAGACATTGTGAAATAAAAATGTTGATTTTCTGAAGCTGTTATATAGACTCAGAAACTATTGAACCGATTGCTTTCAAATTTTCACACAAAATAGTTTGGGTGGACACGGATGCCAAGGTCAGTCAAAAATCGTTCCTACGGAGAGGGAGAGATGACAAGTGCGGGGTATTTTTTCTCCGCTATTTGTGAGTATAGTGTACTTTTTTTCAGCACGTAATATTACGGTGGGGCCCATCACTGGTTAGGTGATGGAGTTTGTGTGTGTGTGTGTGTGTGTGTGTGGGGGGGGGGGGGTCTTTGTCAGGGGCAAAATTAAACTAAACAGTCTGTGGCGACAACATAGGGCGCTAACCCCTCTGGCTACACCGACCTACACAGACAGTAGTGGCAGTTTTGGTTGTTGTTACTGTTGTTGTGAAGGTGGTGGTGGTAGTGGTAGCAGTAGTACTCGTACTTGATAGGTGATGCGGTAGCTGTTACACTGGCCACATTTACTTCTCAGTACAAACTAATGCTACCCATTTTAGTCTGGGTGGACACGGATGCCAAGCTCAATTTAGTTACAATATTTCGTCAGATGATAACTTTCCCATCCTTTGGAGAGGATGAACATAATTAGTGGAAGAGGGGGAAGGGGGGGGGGTTATGCCAGACGCTGTTAGCGGAGAGAGCTTAAAACATTATTTTAAAGTTCTAATTTCTCAACTATTTATATTTTAATAATTTCGCCAGGGATGATTTTTCAATCCTTCGGAGAGGGAGATATGACTGGGTCGAGGGTATAGAAGGGGGTGGGTGGGGGGTTACGACATACACTGTTAGCTGAGAGCTATTTTCTTTCTTTTTCATTTCACCATTCTGGGCCACAGCAACGCGTGGCCGGGTTCAGTTAGTTATAAGATAGAGCTTTACGGAGGAAACAGATAGAGCAGTCAGAATCTCCTCCAACAACCTTACAGAAGCAAACAACATAGAATCCACCCTCCCATCCTCTTTTATCTTACAAGGACATCACACAAGCGATAAACACCCGATGACACAAAGTGCCAGTGTATGGATGAGGATCACAAATGGGGAGGTCCCAGAAACCGCGTTCAGTCATTAGACCACATTTATGGCCGGGCTATATTGCGGCCCCTGACAAGAGCCAGAGTAGGGCTTCAAATAGGAAAAATTGCATCTCACAAAGTCACAAAGGGATGACTGGATGTATTTCTAAACTTACAACATAGAAGATGAGTGACAAACTTTTAAAACCTGTTGCATGAACACAGTAAAAGCGAACTGCAACCTCAAAAGGAAAACATACAATGTGGTGGAATCAAGATGTTACAATTATCATGAAAAATTTAAAAAATAATAATAAGTTTCTATAATTGGCACAAGACAAAATCAGATGACAGCATCAGCTATATAAAATTGAAAAGAGACTGCAAAAGGAAAATGAAAGCGATAAAATTTGAATTCGTGGGCAGAGTATAGAGAACAAGTAGCAAAATTATGCACTGGGTTATTGAGAAAGTTTTACAGAAGTGTCAAAGCAATGAGACCGAAAAAAGAAAAAAAACTAAACCCATCCACTATTATTAACAGCAAGAGTAAGAAATTACTCACTAGTAGGTCAAGCTATTGAAAACGGAAGAAATATTTCAGTGAGTTGTTTAACTGTAGAATACCGGTAGAAGTACCGTACTAAAACAAATCTGAAAAAGACTGAATGAAGCACAGTTCTCAAATAGTATGCAAAGATACTTGAAGTTGATCCTGTCTCATTTCAGTCGCTTCCTGCAGGCGCCAGCATGCTTGCCTGTTTTCCTTCTCCTCTTCCGTCGTCTGAAAGTGTTGACTGGATAAATTATGTTCACCGGACGCCGAATACACACTGAGGGAAGGTTGAACCCACGTGAGTGTACTCTATTGCACGGTTCGGATCCAAATCTCATAGAAAGATCACATTCAAAGAAGCAAAAACAGCAATATTACGCCCGTCGTCTTAACTGACGAAAAAAGCGTTTCGCCATATTGCCTGTTTACACCGGAAAGTCACAACGGTAACGGAAGTTGTTGTAGTTAGCTAGTTAGTATCAATTCTTTGGAGATGTGGATATACAGAAGATTAGGTCGTATTTCATGAAAACTAAAGCTATAAAATACAGAGGTACTGAGGAAATTTGGAATGAAAAGAGAGTTGCTAGGTGAAATAGAAAAGAGACAAGTGAAATATTTTGACCACATTAAAAGACATAACAGTATTGTAAAGATCATCCTAGAGGGAAAGGTTCAAGGTAGGCGAGCAAAAGGCAGACAGCGTTACAAGTGGGAGGATACCATCAAGAGATGGACGAACAGCAGTATGAGCGAGTGTACATCAAGGGCAAGAGACAGGGCTTGTTGGAGATCCATTGCCGTCAACCTTCATTGTGGAGACGGCACGTGATTGATTGATTGATTGATTGATTGATTGATTGATTGATTGAGTTAGTAGTCTGAAATATTATAGTCGTCGATTACTATTGATTAGTATCTTATGTCTGGTTGAGAGTTTCAGATGTTTCTCAATGTTAGTTGGCATTTAATAGCTAGCATAGCATGTTATATGTGCCTATTTTAGATAATACTTCTTCTTCTTCTGGCTCCCCCCCCCCCAGTGGAGCATAGGCCCTCAATCAACTCACGCCAAGTAGTTTTATCTTTCGCTATCGCATGTAGTTTTCCCTATGTCCTCCCCATCTTTATAACTTCCTAGCTCCCTTTCCCGTGTTTATGTGTGTGTGTGTGTGTGTGTGTGTGTGTGTGTGTGTGTGTGTGTGTGTGTTTGTCTTTATCTCTATGCCCATGTGGATTCCAGTGCAGATACTTTTTAGTTATACTGTTCTAAAATTTTCTAAACTTGTGTCCTAACAACCGCAAGAGTATTTTTGTTTCACCTCTTTCTCTGAAAAGACAAACTTGTTTAGTTATCTCCCAAACCTCGATTTAGTGATTATAACATACCATTTAATTTCCTCTACGCTGCCTTGTTGACTATTTTAACCATCTGAGATCCACCGTGAATCATGAACTATCGCTGGATCAAGAAATCAAAAGTAGGATAGGCAAGGCAGCAACAACGATGAGACGATTAACAACAAGAGTTTGAGAGAACAGACAACTCACGATTAAAACAAAAACTTGTCTATCAGGCCGGTGTTCTCAGCACTCTGCTTTAAGACAGTGAAACTTGGACAACTTTTTCGCATCAGGAGAAACGGCTGAATAGCTTTCATATGTGATGCCTAAGAAGAAAAGTTCAAAAGAAATTTAAACGTAAAGTACTCTTTTTTACGCCTTTATGCGTATCCAACATATAGGACTAGACCTACATTTTATAGGCCAGACGCCTAAGAAACATGCGTGGCATTAAGTGGAAGGACAAGATCACTGACTCAGGTATTGGAAAGAGCAGGCATTACAACAGTCGTCTCAATGCTCAGTCTTCAGAGGCTTAGGTGGCTAGGACACAGATGGAGAAGGGATGATGGCAGAATCCCTAAGAACAGCCTCAATGGTAATTTAAGAAATGGTTGAAGATGTCTAGGCTGACCTCTACTATGTTACAAAGATGAGTGCAAGCTGGACACGAATGATGCAGGTACTGAGGTGGATTTATATAAACAAAATGCCAGGGACCGTGTTGTGGGGAGGTGGCACATCAGAAAGGGAACGAGATCGAAAGAAAGAATGGGAGCTAGGTTTCTGAGAAGAAACAGACTAAACACCAATATTGACAAATGATGGTCCCGAAATCCTATGCTATAATTCTATAAGACTTTTCCTAACGCGAGCGGGTCTTGCTAGTCACGATCGTCATCATCATGGGCTGTGAGTCCCATGACTCCTCATAGCGCAGAATAACAGTGTCGTCTGGAAAGATAGAGAGAAGCGACCAGTCTGACTGCCTATTTGTTACCCAACACACCAACATTTCTTGGAGAAAATATCGAAACTACACTAACTAGATGTAATCAATAGTCGAATGCTATAATTTCCGAGTTTGGAGAAGTTTGGTGGCAGTGGGTGTCCAGTTGTGTTGTTCACCCGGCTTTCATGGGTTATTCTAATGTTAGTTTGATTATATCAGGAGTTGTTGTGTGATTGTCTGTTGCTTGTCGGAGCTTTCCTCCTGGACCAGCTGCCGGCCAAGGCGTGACAGTTGCCAGGTTAAATTTCCTAGTCCTAGAATAAGGCTAGTATTCACACCAATGCGCTCCTCCGTCCAAAGCGATGGGTATAATGTGGGATGTTAGATTTGGTATACACCGCTCGACATTTGGCGTTAACAGAAAACAACTGTTATCTGGTAGCTCAGTTATGTATGATCAAGCCCTGACACAAATTATAGAAATACACACACAAAACAAAAGAATTTTTTTTTTTAATTGTACAAAAATACTCAAATTCTTCAATTTTCCAACGGTATCCAGGTTCTGGGGTAATAAAGATCATCCCTAAACCACCTTCCCAGAATGGAACCTTTTCTCATATACCCAGGATAGTAAATGACATGTCCATTAGCCAGCCACGCACTCCAATATCCAAAAGACCCGCCAGATATTATAACGTGATCACATTTGGATAACACGGCCATGTGAACAGCTGCTGTCGCTGGAGGCATGAAAGCAACATCTGTACCGGACAAGTTTTCATAGCACCAGGGGAGATCATCGCTGGCAACTAAGAACGTGATGTTTCTTCCCGGAAACTTTGATTTCATCAGACTGAAACCTTTAATGAAATATGATTTTTCAGGAACTCCAAAACCCAATTTTGTGTGCTTTGCCTGTAGAAAGTCGGTACGACGTACATGCACTCCTACAATCATTGATGCGTTGTATTCCACAAACACGTCGCGAAGTATCATGGCAGCGGCGTTAGCGATGGAATCATGGAAAGTAAACTCTTGCTTGACTTCTTTCTCTACTCCAGAGAAATACCAGTATGATAGTAGGTGTCTTTCGATTGTCAGGTTCTGCATCGGTAGGTTCATCAATCTTTCATCATAGAAAGATTGTTCTGCGATCAAAGGCCACCTGCGAGTAAAGAAAGTGTTGTTGAAGGGCACAGCTGAATGCATTAATTATCATAACACATACACAATATACACACACATATATACAATAATACATCATCATAATTCCATGTAATATCATTATAAGCCACCTTCGTTTTCAGTTGTCCGTCATTCATTCTGTTAAATCCTATTGAATCGTTGGCCTCTTCTTTGCTGTTTTTCAGCTAACCACAGATTACTGAGTTTTGTGGAAGCAGCTGCTATATATCGATTGTCCGAATTAATGCAGACAAAAGGACATGGTTTTCACCTTGCGTTTTGCAACGAGTCTATTTTCTCCTGAGAATGAATAAATGCGTTAATAATGAGGTCAGAGATGACGTGTGCGAATGTTCGCTTGATACACCGCACACTTGCCAAGTATCCATGGTATGCTAAATAGTGTTACAGTAACAAGTCACCATTCCCGCCCAACAGCAATAAAGGACGCCAGATACATGTCGAACGTCAACCACAATTAATGTATTTCTAATTTCAACACCAAAACAATGAAAGGCATCACGAGAATAAAACGTTACACCGCCACAGTCAATCCTACTGGCAAGGCAACACACACTACGGCAAGGCAACACACACTACGGACGCTCTGGGCTACTTCTACTGCCACCCTGTCCCGTGGTCAACTACGAGCAAACATTACCTGCTCGTGCAAACTCACTACTCGTGATTATGTGTCTACCTCTATGACACCCATCCCTTGGGTACACTGACATAGCAGAATCATACAGGCCGATGCACAGTACATTGTGAAAATTGTCCAGACCTTCCGTCTGCAGCCTGACACGTAATTGAGATCTCAATGATCTCACCACACGAGCGTCTGTAACGCTGGCTTGGCCACTGTAACAACACTCACAGACAGCCCGTACACCTACCGCCAGCGTAACACAGGTATGCAGGACCAGCCTGGAACCATCCAGATTAGAACAGGCATTCTACACAGCGTCGTAGAGTCAACGGTCACTCTCTCTCTCTCTCTCTCTCTCTCTCTCTCTCTCTCTCTCTCTCTCTCTCTTCACATACCGTTCAATGTGTGCTGCACCGCACTAAGTTTTACGTTCAATAATGAACTTCCCTTCCCATATATTGCACACAACAAGAGACTGAACGTTTGATTGTGACGCAAGTCTCCAGATTGATCCCACGAGCTATCATGTGAATGTACATTTGTGTATTAATGTGAAGGTATTCTATTTGATGTTAGTGATTGCCTAGACAATGTTTAAGCCTCGACATACACTGGCCAAGGAATCAGCTGTTGTATGATTAACAAACAATGACAACGAGTCGTGTCGTTTATATCGTCCATTCTTCACCTGTACAGTTATGCGTCAGTGTGCAGTTGAGGAGACTGCAAGGGACTGGAGCCAATACTGAGTGTTACAAGGACACATACACCTGATCATTTGTAATGCATTAAAAATTATATATTTATTATAACTTATTGATAATAATAATTATTATTATTACAATTATACACTATTATTAACCACAAGTGTTACTTTATTCACAATTACTTTTTAACCATCTTATGAATTTGTGTTTTTTAACTTTAATCAATGCACACTGTAAATTTTTTAAACTTAAAAATATATTGTAGTGGGCACATCGGGCACAATAAAATATATGATTGCCAACGGTTTAATTCAAACAAACTGTGAAATTTTTTAATTAAACATTAGGTCATTTAATATTTGCTACAGTGTTATTGTTATTTATACTACACACACAATTGAAAAATAATAATTTTAAAATAACTGAGAATTAATTTGATCATTTACTTATTATCAATTGAAATTTTTCATCAATACTAACTGTAAGTTGAGTTATTTTAGGAACATTTTTTCATTGATTTTTGAACTTTGTATTCAACTTGTGATTTTCAATTGGTTGGTTATTGTAAAACAATGATATATCACCGCACTGAGTATTTATGACACACATATAATTAATTGTTGACATTAATGTATGCATATTTCTACTCATTACACATATTGCAAAACGTATTATAGTACGATACAATATTTGTGACAATTTATCACAAAGAATTCAACTTTTACTATAATTTGAATAATCATTACAAATAATCAGCTGCTTTAAGTAAAATGTACAACTATTCAATCTCTGTCAACACAAGTTCTTAAGTGCGATCAACTTGATAATCCTATCACAACCAAACTTGTGCTTGACTAATCCAAACTCCAAGTCTAAGGCTTTATCTTTGTATATAGAAAATATTTTTGTTTCTTTCCTTTATTTGTTACACAAAAATAACTTACATTAACTTGTCTTTCAACGTATAGTATAATATTGTAAGTCAAATAGACATGTTTGTTACTAATAATCTTTCAGTTAGTAACGTTAACAATAGCTTATATTGATATTTGAAAATTCTGCAAGGGTGTAGTTTGACTGTAAGGAATTGTAATTTTACTGCAAGTTATATTTGCTAAAAAGTAAAGATGTATAATTTGGCAGAACTCATCAAACTTGGTAACGAATTGAAATTGGAGGGCGAAGAACTTAAAAAGTTCTGTATTTGGGGGGAAAAAACGAAAAAAGAAAATGCAAGATAAAGTAAGAGAGGAGAGAAGATTACTGAGGTAGCATGAATTAGAGATGTAAGCACAAGAAATGTAACTGAAAAACAAACAGCTTGAACAGGAAAGAATATTAAAGGAAAAACTACTAAAAAAAATAAGGTGTTTGAAAAAGAATGAGCTGGAACGGGAAACGTTAGCTGCAACAATTAAAACTGAAAAAAGAAAAGACAGAAGCACAGATTAGAACTAAAAAATGGAGCATGATTGCAAAAGAGAAGCAGCCATTCAGAAAAAGATAATGAAAGAAGAAGAAAACAAATTAAAAAAGTCTACAGGTATTGTTGGAAATTTTACAGAGAAGGATGACTTTGGCATTTGGATTTCCAATTTCTTAGTACAAATAAAGTTTCATAATATTCCAACAGACCAGTAATCTTTCAAAAACACTTAGCATTTGAACCATTGACATTTTTAGAAACCGTCTTGAACATCTGAGACTTGATTTGGAATATGTCAAGGATCGCATTATGCAACATTATGACTTGTTGAGGCAGGGTAAATAAAAAGGTTCCTTGATTTGAAGCTAAGGTCAGATCAGACGTTTACGGATTATATTTCGAAAGTCCAAAACATTTTTGACAAGTGGATAGATTCGGTCAAAGTCAGAGACAATTACAAATTGTTAGCTGACTTGTTGTTGAGGAATAAAATGCTAGAATCAATGCCCAATAAAATGTCAACATTCTTACGAGAAAATAGACCTTCTTAATTGAAAGTTTTTAAAGCCGGCCGTGGGCTGCAGCGAGTCGCAGTCCCTAGTAGAAGTAGTAGTAATTGTTGTTATTGTTATAGTAGCAGCAACAGCATCAGTAGTAGTTGTTGTTGCAGTCGAAGTAGTAGTTATAGTTGTTGATGTTATTGTTGTAGTAGCAGCAACAGCATCAGTAGTAGTTGTTGTTGCAGTCGAAGTAGTAGTTATAGTTGTTGATGTTATTGTTGTAGTAGCAGCAACAGCATCAGTAGTAGTAAATGTTGTTGTAGTCATAGTAGAAATAGTAGTAGTTGCTGTTGTTATTGTTGTTTTAGCAGCACCTGCATCAGCATCAGTAGTAGAAGCAGCAACAACTGCATCAGCAGTAGTAGTAGTAGTAGTAGTAGCAGCAGCAGCAGCAGCAGCAGCAGTAGTAGTAGTAGTAGTAGCAGCAGCAGCAGCAGCAGCAGCAGCAGCAGTAGTAGTAGTAGTAGTAGTAGTAGTAGTAGTAGTAGTAGTAGTAGTAGTAGTAGTAGTAGTAGTATTTGTTACTGGTAGTAGCAGCAAGATCATCAGTAGTCGTAGTAGAAGTAGTAAAAGGTAAACGGTAATATAGGGAGATGTGAACCAGCGTCATTGCACACGACTATACACCATAAGTGCTCTGCCACCAGTACGGACATCCCTTGTGGGATGCAATGTTTAATTATTTTGAAGCCCTATCCTGGCTTTAGCCAGTGCCCCCAAACATAGTCGGGCCTGAAATATGGCCTAACGGCTGAACGGGGTTTCCGGGACATCTCCACAGGTGATCCTCATCCTCATGGTGACACTTTGTGTCACCGAGTATTTATCGCTTGTGTGATGTCCTAGTGGGGTACAACTTACATACATACATACATACATAGTACGGATAGCAGATAAGAAACTGTCCACCTGCGACGGCGTTCTTACGAAATTCCGTAGCTACAGCGACGTTCCTCCATTTACCCCAGAGTGTTAACTCTGGTACATATTTCCTATTTCCGTCCGGTTTCAAACACCAGCGAGTCGCGATCCTTAGTAGAAGTTGTAGTAGTTGGTGTTATTGTTATTGTGGTAATAGCAGTAACAGCATCAGTAGTAATTGTAGTTGTTGTCGAAGTAAGAGTTGCAGTTGTTGGTGTCTTCTTCTTCTTCACTTCCTCTTTTACCGCTGTGGGTGTCGAGGGAGATATAAGGTTCTGTTTCTAGCTCTTCTGGCTGCCTCGCCCATAGGCACATCGTGCTGTAGAGTTTCTCTGATGTTATCATTCGATATTGTTCTTGGTCTACCCAGTGCTTTACGTCCTTCTTCTCTTTCCATGTATGCTTCGTATGGTATGGTGTCACAAGGCATTCTCTCTAAGTGGGCAAACCATTTCACTTGCTGTGTTTGTATGTAATCCAGAATTGGTTTGTTGGTGTTATTGTTGTAATAGCAGCAACAGCATCATTAGTAGTGGTAGTAAATGTTGTTGTAGTCATAGTAGAAGTAGTAGTAGTTGTTGTTGTTATTATTTAGCAGCACCTGCATCAGCATCAGTAGTAGTAACAGCAGCTACAGCATCAGTAGTAGCTGAAGCAGCAGAAGTAGTAATAGTAGTAGTGTTAGCAGCAGCAGTAGTAGTAGTAGCAACAGTAGGATTCATATAAATGCAAAGTAGTCTAAGCTATTCTTCCCTTTACCC